GGGCACCGCCTGCCCCCCCCTCGGGGCCAGCAGCGCCCCCCGGCACTCCCGCAGCACCCCCAGCCCGGTGGTACCCACCCTGGGACCAAGCCCTCGCCGGCTGACAGCGGTGCCTGGCTGACCGAGGAGGACGAGGAGGCGTGGGTCTGATCCCACCCAGTTTCAGAGGGGACAGACCCCCTTGCTCATCCTAAGGTGGGCAACTTCAGAGCTGTGTTGCCCACAGGCAGCTGGATTTGCTCCTGGGTCACTGTGGGGTCCCCCCTCGCTCTTCAGAGCTGCACCCCCCCCCCTTCCCAGTGGGGCTTTGTTTGGGACTGGTAATCTCCTCCTGTTTAGGTGCTTTCCCACTGTTTTGGGTGGAAAAATCCAGCCCCAAATCAAGAGAATGGGGCACCTTCTGCAGGGAAGAGGGGTATAGCTGGCTCCTGTGGTGTCCCCTCAAGCAGGGACACCCCGCAGCCGGCATCCAAGCATGCAAACCATCCGGTACCTCAGTCTTCCGGTCTGTAGAATGGGAGTAACGATCCTTGTGTCTTACAGCACCAAGCGCCTTAACAAGCGTTTGAGTTGCTCAGGTCAGGGGGTCACAGGAGGTGACCCTTGCTGAGCCCCGTGAGCTTCCTCATGGGCCAAAGTGGGAGACCTGGGGGGTGATCACCTCGGCAGTGATGGCTGTCACCAAGGCTCGTTGCAGGCACCGCTGCCACCCCGAGCCGGTGGCCCCGGACCTGGCAATGTCTGTGCAATACAGAATACACCAAAGCTCCTCTGCTTCAGCATCTTTGTGTGGGAGGGGAGGGAGAAAGGATAATCCTGAGGTGGGGAGGGTCATGGCTGGTGAAGGGAGTTCATGCAGCTGCTCTGCTGCCTATGAGCACAACAAATATCCTTCCGAGAGGCTCCCCAGGGCCCAGAAGTGCCTCGTCTTCCAAGAGAGGATGAAGCTGGACTCGCACCTCTGCAGAGGAGCAGCAAAAGTGAGTGCCAGGGCTGTGTGGATGCAAAACCCGCTTGCAAAAATGCTCCTTCTACAGGGGAGAAACACTTCCCCCCTCCCTGGACCATTGCTTCGGCAGAAGGGCCATGAGAGGGGCAGCAGGTCGCGAGCAGTGCAGAGCCATGGGCAAAGAGCAGCGAGGCGGGTACAGAACAAGGGGGGACAGACCTGATTTTTAATTCAATTTCAAAGAAGGGGGTGCAGGGTGTTACAGGCGGTGTAGACACCTCAGGAAACTCCAACAAGAAGTCCGGGGGGAAAGGAAAGCCAAGTCCAGGCAACCAGGATGCTCACTGGGGCAGGAGGAGGAGGAGAGGGAAAGCATCCTCGCTGGGGCTGGACTGAACCCAGGCATCACCTCCTGCGGCACCACGAGCAAGGGGGCAGAAACCCATCACCGCCCTGGGGACAACGGTGGGGTCATCCTCAGCCTCTCCCCGACTCGGGAGCGGGTTATTTTTAGCAGGACCAGGGTGGCATTGGGCGAGCGGTAACACTTTGTACTAAGGGTGCGAGTAGGGGCAAGGTGCAGGTTGGATTGTAGCTTCTGCTGAGCTCCTGGCTGCTCTGGTCCCCGTGAGCCTGGCCACGCGCCGCACCTCCCTGCCTTGGCTTCCCTGCCTGTACCACCACCCGGCTTCCCTGCCTCTACTCAGCCCGTACCACCACCTATCCCCTCCTGAACTCTTAGGAAGTAGCTCTTTGTAGCCCTCTATTTTCCTGGGAGCTGGGAAATGCTGTCGGAGCAGTGAGAGTTATTATTATTATTAATATAACTTTCTGTGTCTATAAAGTACAATAGAATATAACAATTATATTTATATCATTCTTTTTTTCCAAAATACTAAATAGATGCTATAAAAACCTGTAACTAATTGTGCTATAAACTGCAGGCTACAGGGTTATTAACAAAATGTATTGGCTTAGTCGTTGATATGTGTACATCAGAGCATTTATAAATGCTTTATTAGTAGCATTTACCAAGGAGTTTCCTTCTCAAACAATTTGGAGGGATAAAGCTTGCCAGAGATCAATAACGTGGACTCACACGTGTTAATAAATCCTGACGAGATGGGGCTGGGGGGGACCGGTGGCGAAGCCCCGTAGGTTTGCCGTGAAGGCAAGGGATGGGGATGAGTGCCTCTGCCCTTCACTGGCCGGGGCTCTCGCAGCCACCGTCTACCCCCATCCCCTTTTCTCCTTTTTTTTTTTCCCCTTTTCATTTTTTCGGAGTGGGGGAATGGGGTTTGGTTCCCAAAGGGGGTGGGGAGGAGCAGAGTGACCCCCAATCTCGCAGCATCTTCTGGTGGTGAAATGCACCATGCCTGGACCTACTCTTAATAGAAAGTGTTACCGAGAGCACAGCAGTGCTTCTGTGAGATGGAAACCTGGCCGTGGGGGCAGAGAGGGGGCTGGGGGCCTTTTGTTGTACTGCCAAGAGCGGCACTGAGTGCCTGCATCCCCTCCATACACCAGAAATCATCGAGATGGCTTTGCCAGAGGATGGACCAGCCTCAGATCCTGCAGGACAAGCCGCAGGCAAGCTGCGAGTCTGGTGTAAAAACAAGCTGAAAGATCAGAGAAGAATTAAAAAAAAAAAATGATGGGAGGCTGACTTTCCTATTAGAGATGTGCAGAGAGAAAAAAGGGGATGCCACTGGAAAGGCAACTCCAGCTCCCTATTGCTTCGGAGGCCACCTTCGCACCGCCGCCGTCTCACATGGATGGAGGGAGATGAGAGTGGCCCTGGAAAGCCCAGCACGGGTTGGCCCTGCATCGCAGCACTGTTGGCAGGGTGCGATGGCACGGGGGGAACTGCCTGCCTGCCCGGGGGTGAGGGGGGTTAGGGTCGGAGTCATACAAAGCCCGCCGAGCCCGGGATGTGAGGTAGCGGAGGGGTGACCTGCCCAGCAAGGAGCGTTTCCAGATTATTTGGTGTTTGACAGGCTGGTGGGGAGAAGAAGCCTTCCTTGTCTGAGTGGGAGCAGGAGAGGGACTCGAAGCCCTGGGGAAGCAGCACCCGGCACCCCAGGAAGATGTAAGGGGCAGGATGGGGACTTTATTTTTTCCCTTTGTTGCTTTCATCCAGAAATTCTACCTGGAAATCTGACACAACCAAGACAAAAGAGAGCCTGGCTAACCTGGCCTCTTGCCCAAGGCTGCTCTGCCCTCCGAGGGGAGAAACCCCAGCTCTGCAGGGAGGAAGATGGGACCCCCAGCTCCGCCATGCCCTGGAGATGGAGCCACACTGGTGCATTGGGCCCCAACACTGGGCTGTTCCTTCCCAGGTTCAGGTGATGGCTGGCTGCAGCAAGCGTTGCCCCTGCAATGTTGGGGTAGGAGACGGCAAGCACGGACCGACAGCCAACCTCCAGGCCCTGTCTGAGGTGTCTCCTCCACCTCCCAAGGCCACACAGCGTTTCAGGCACGGCAGAGACACGAACCCCTCCGGAGAGCTTGAGCCCTGAGTGCTGGAGGCTCAGGGAGGGCTCAGGGTTTTAGAATCATAGAATCATAGAATAGACATCCAGGGATGGGGCATCCACAACATCTCACCTGCCTCACCTCTCGCTACCTCCAGGCAACCCGGCCGCACACCTGCTCCGACCCACCGATGGACACCACATCACCTTGCCCAGCACCGCCCAGGGTGCAGCATCCCCAGATGTCACTGCAAGGTGCCAGGGCCAGCAGGAAAGGAAACCCCGAGGTGCCTCCAGCAGAGCTCCCACCACAGCATCACCCCCACTGGGAGCAGTGATGCCAGCACTCCCCGGGGAGCCACGGTTCTCAAGGACAGGAGGGCAGAGGGGCACGGCCATGGGGTCCTTGAGGGCGGGGGAGGCTCACATGATGGTGCATCGGTTCCTGCGCAGGGCGCCCTGGAAGCGGATGGTGGTGTGGACGTGCTTGCAGCGGGCACAGCCCACGCTCTTCAGGAGCTCACTGAAGAGCAGCAGGATGTGCCAGTTGTACTTGGCCGAGCACTCGATGTAGCCGCACTTCCACGTCTTCTTCACCAGGTTGGAGACGTTCCAGCGCGGGATCACCCGGCCCCGCTGCAGGTCTCGCTTGTTGCCCACGATGATGATGGGCGTCTCCGAAGTGCCGATGACCCTGGGGAGGGTGGGCAGTGAGGGACGACAGAAGGGGATGGAGCACAGCATGATGGTGGACCAGCCTGCAGACCCCAACCCATCCTGAACCAGGTCTTGGCTTTGACTTGCCAAGAGGGACATGTGTCCTCTTGGCCTGTCCCCTTGTCCCTCTTTGTGGCCAGCTACCCGGCATGCCAGCCCCAGTTGCTTTTCCAGGGATGGCTGCCCTCATCCTCAGGGGATACCTGCCCAGGGGTATCCTGCTTCTTTTCCTGCCCTCAGGTCCAGTTTTCCTTTTGGGCTCCCAGCCCTGCAAAGGGGCTTTGCCCCAGTCTCTAACATCTCATCCCTGATGCCAAGAGCAGGGGAGCACTGGGGCGAGCCGTACCGCCCCGCCAGCAGCGGTCCCTACCTTGTTTCCAGGATCTGCTGGCGGATGGTTTTGATGTACTCGAAGCTGTCAAAGCAACAGATGTCATAGACCAGGATGTAGGCATGGACGCTCCGGAGGCCCCTGCAACACACGTCCGCCCACTCCTGCAAGGTGCAGAGAGGGATCAATCCTGACTCAGCCCTGCCACCATGCCCTGGGGATGCCCCACACAGCTCTGGGGCCAGGCACACCAAGGAGGCTGCTACCCCAACAGGTAGAAGGGGGCTGCACACTCTCCAGCCCTGATACCCAGCACCCAGCTCACCTCCACTCTGCCCCATCCCAGTGACGGCTGCGTCTGCCCCCTGCAGCCCCTCAGCCATCCTCCCCATCTCCAGACATCCCTTATCCCCCTGGTTAATCCAGAGGAGCAGGAACAGGGTTTGTCAGCCCTAGTTCCTCTCTTGAGCAAGGATTGCAACCTGCCCAAAATCTGCCTCATGCACGGTGGTCCAGAGGGGAGCTGGGGGCGAGGCTGAATGCAGCCTCTGCCCTGATGTAAAAGCTCCATCCTCCAGAGCTGCTAATTAGGTGTGTTAATGAGTCATGCACCTTGGTTTTTGGGCAGGGTGGGTGAGCAGGGTTGAGCCGGGCTCAGCCTGGCCCTGGCCCCATGGGGCTGGGGATGAGGGACCAGCAGGTCCATAGGTCAGAGGGGGAAGGTGACGGCAGGGCCGTTTGGAGGGGACATGGGGACGGGAGAGGAGCAGCGGCTGCTCGGGAGGGAGGTCTGCGAGGGCAAAATCAGGAGCCAGCACAAAGGCAGTCAGGGGTGGCCTCTCCACAGCCAAAATTTGGAGCTGTAAGAAATACATGTTGTTAAGAAAGCTCTGGGCTTCCAGGAATAACAGGGGGGTTTGCACGTTATAGGAGTGAAAACCTGCCCCAGGTTCAGCCCCCTCCCCAGCCCAGCAGTGGCACCGGGAATGGCAGCCCGTGCAGGCAGCACCACAAACCCTCCCAAGTGCGACTGGAGAGGAGAAGGATGCACAAAGGAGGAAAGACATCAAGCAAACCTCTTCAGCACTGTGAATCATCCCTTTTTGGGTTTATCATTGGGATGAGGCAAAATGAGAAAACCTAGGACTGAAGGAAACTGGGAAAAGGAATGTTCTGGGGTGCGGGTTGGTCTCCATCGCAAACTGCAGCACGGGAAGGAGCTGGGAGCGAGCAGCATGACACAGTCCCTCTCCCATCCACCAAGGGAAGGAGATGGATGATGTGTGGACCCTGGGTACCAGAGAGCTGCGGGCGGACAAAGCAGCAGTGTCTCAGGTCACCCCGAGTCCTGGGACATCAATAAATTGCAGCTATTTTACCACACTGGGTGTAGCTTGCTCTGGCGCTGTGATGCCAGGCGGTTTTCCCTGCGTGGGGCAGGTTTCCCGGGATGCTCAGGGCTGGAGGAGGGTTGTGCTGTTCATCCCATCTGACCCCATGCAGGAACGGGATGTTGGGGAGCCATGAACCCCCACTCTTCTCCTAGGACATCACAAAACAGGCAGAGGGCAGGCACCAGCGATGCTTCCCAGCAGAGCTGTATCCCCCATTGCAGTCCTCTCCCCTCGGAGCCATCCCTCTGACCACTCTCTTCCCTGGAAATCTCCATCTGTTCCCACCGGCTGCCTCCTCTTGAGCGCAGCGAGGCAGGGAGTTAATCGGGTGTGTTGGCGTCGGCTGCTGTGTCAATAAATTACCCTTCGCTATTTCGGGCTGTCTCTCGTGCTGACCTTTCGTTCCTTGCACACGCCGATTAATTTTTAAACCTCCTCCTCGCCCCCGGAGCGCTGACTTCACCTCCTGCCCGACGGCACCGGGGACACTTGGGGCACTACAAGGCCCTGATAACCCTGTCCCCGTCACACACAGGAGAGAGATAATTACACTGATTAAAAATGGAAGAGAGCCCAGCTCCCACGGAGGTGATGCCACTGGTGGCATTCCCTCCGGCATGGCTATGGCCACGGCTGGGAACCTGCGGCTCCTTTCCGCAGAGAAGTGGCACAACTTGTGTTCCTGCGACACAGTCATGGCTCAAGCTTAAAATCCCCTTTTTCCCCATTAATCCCCCAAGAAGAGGTTGGCACTGGTGGCAAACTGGTGGGAAGGCTTTCCAATCCCATGCTGCCTCTTGGGGCTGGTCTGGAAGCATGAGAGCGACAGGGCTTGAGGAGCTGGTGGGCTCAGTGCTCCAGGGACAAGCCCAGGCAATGCTGGGGGGGGGACAGCCACCCCAGGAGGGGATGTGCAGCCCCGCTCTGTCTGGCTTGGGCAGCAGGTGCATCAGGGTCCAGATCTCCTGAAACCCCTGGATTTCACCCAAAATGATCTGGTCACTCTCCCCCAGCCCTTTGCTGGTGCTGATGGCACTGGATCCCAGTGTTCCGGGATCCAATGCCCAGCTGGACGGGGGGACCTGGCAGGGCCGTGGACATCGCAGGAGCCAAGGCCCTTGGAGGTCCCTCCTCATTTGGGGTGAAAAAGCTTTACAAGACACCTCATCCTGGGCCTGCTCAGCCAGTACCATGAGGATGTGATCCCTCTCACTGGCTTTCAGCAAGCAAACCCCAGCGTGGAGGGAGAAGCCTCTCCAGAAAAGGAGGAACTGGGACCCTGTGGGGCTATACAGTGCCACCCCACCACCACCCAAGACCCCCCCACCGTGGGGACCCCATCGTACCGAGCTGGGTGCACCCCTACCTGCAGGGTGTTGACGGGGAAGGCGGTGATGGGAGGGAAGTCCATGATCTGCAGGTCGTGGACGTGGCCGTTCATGACGACGGCGGGCAGGTAGACACGGCGGGCTGTGGTGGGCACGCAGACCTCGCTGAACTCGTTGTAGAGGAACTGACGGACTATGGCGCTCTTGCCCACGCCCTGGGCTCCCAGCACGGCGATCTTGAACGTTGCCACCATGCCGCCACGTGCCGGCCGCTGCCCTGGTGCTGCCCCCGCGGCGCCGAGGCTGCATATTCCCGCGCAGGGGGCCTCAGCCCCATTCAGGATGCATTTCCCCTCTGGGACATTCCGTCACTGCAAGGCCAAGGAGAGGCTGGTCAGATCCTAGAGACACCCTGGCAGATCCCGCTATTGCTTCAGGGGATGTTTTTCCAAGCAGAAGCTCACGGAAAAGGGTTACATCTGTCCGTGGGAGCACCCATCAGGGCTGGGCAATGTCCCCAGCGGGGGCCTCAGCGCTGCGAGACCTCAGCGTCCCCCTTGGAGGCTCCCACCCTGAAGAGCCAAGGAGAGCTGGGATTTGAGCGGCCTTTATCCCAGGAAGGTTCTCACAGGCACATTCAGCCCTTTTGGTACCAGAGCAAGGAAACCTCCCGCAAAGGGACTGTCTGCAGCTCAGGGTTTGCCCAGCCCTGGCAGCAGCAGGGTGCCGGGCTGTGCTGGGGACTTATCCCATGGCACCCGTGGGGACCATCACTGACTGCTCATCCCGATGCTGCCCCAAGCCAGGGAATCCATCTTCCCTCCGCTTGGACAGGCAGAACTGCCTTTTGCTGGGGCGGGGGGGGGG